TCTTTGTATCGACCATAGAACTTACGAAATGATGACTTTAGAACGAGACGGCTGATATTCTTGTTTCATACAACTATGAGTTAAAAGATGTTTTTTATCTAATTAAATATTGATTAGCAACAGTAATTTATTATTCTTAATTTTCAGGGAAAAGGTAATGACCTTGATCTGACCTTGCCTCTAATATAAATTGTCAAATTCAATTTCATCGAGACCGTCACTTAGTTATATTGTCACTTTGATTCTGTGAAAATTTTATTAATTTTTAAATACAATATAAGAAGCATCCTATCGTAATATTTTCTAAAATTTTCTGTGTAATATCACGACTTAATCCCAAAGAGTCTTTTGTAATGGAAAAGTTGAGAGCAAAAATAAACATACAAAGATGAAAAACCGTGTACAAACAATGAGATGATATTTAGGGTATCGGGCAAAGCAAGACACCCGATGGCAACAAATGTCGGAGTATGAAACTTTTTACAACATGAAATTGTGCATATGGTCACATTTCCTACAAAGCCTAGCAATCCGATAATCAAAGTCAGAACCACGATTGATTTCACAAATCCTTCCGATGTCAAACCAATAATTTTTGAATTGAGTAAATGGAATGATAATGTATAATCCTTTTCAGGATCAAAGAAGGTAAAATAATCCAAAAAGACATTTTTCGTTTCATTCCCGCTTCTCTGAAGATTTCTGTCAAGTGAAAACAAATGTGGGATCCAAAAAGTACTTTTATATTTCAATTCTGTTTCTTCATCGAAATGAGACAAATTCCATTCGGAAGGTTCAGATGTGGGTACGGAAATTTCCCTTTCATAAAATGCCATTTCTCCACAAACTGTAAAAAGTATTTTCTTCATGGTCGAGCTGTGAAAAAAAAAACATATCGGTGATATTGTAAAGTGAGTTAGAAGTTACATCATTTAAAAATAATTAAAATGAAACGAACAAAAACCTAGGAAGAGGATGCACTGGCCAAATATACATCTGTTCATAACCCCCTTCCACTCCTACAAAAAGAATATATAGACTTATGAAAGTGTTCTCTCACATTTCAGGATTGAGAAAGTTTATTACTTTTTTGCTCGTACAAATATTTTCTTTATGTGGACCCCTCATCCCTGGGAAAAACTTCCTAAATCTACGTCTGTCGCCATTCATACATGTATATCGCCGTCAAGTTTGTTGCATGGGTCATTTAAGCATATAGGGCTTTATTTATCCCACGTTTCCAACAATCTTTGATGCTCTGGCATACCCAACAAACTATTAAACATATTCTGCATGTCAGTCATAACTGTTACGATTCCCAATTTCTTGTAGTTATCATATTTTCAGCTGTCTTCCTCAAAGCCTATGCTGTATGCAGTTGAATCTAAATGTAACCTTTACATGCAGCCATGCGTTCCGGCATTAATCAATTACATTAGCTTTTTCCATTATTTACTTCATCCTCTAAAACCATTTTTAGACTCCCGGAGTGAGTTGTTCATCTTTACTTCGCGGGTTCGAATCTACAGCGGGACATGTACATGATTTCATTTTTTTTTTTTATTTGAGATACAAACAATATATACAATTTATAAAAATGTGTTCTTTTTCCATTACTCTGATGAGTATCATACAACTTAAAATGAATGCTAGATGTTTTGTTCAACATCTTCATAATTTACTCTAGTGAAATAATTAACTCCTCTCCCCCCAATGTAAACGTGTATAACATCATGCTTATAGGTTCTATAAATATTGATGGCATAAGTCAGGCAAGCTTTTTGAAAAGCTGTTACTTGTATTGTGAAAAGTTTACAGAAATTTGAGCAATTTCCCTGCGATGTCACGGCGATTTTAAAACTTTCAAAGCACCGTAATGATTCCATGTGGAGTGTAAAGCTTGGTGGGACATGGACTTAAATTACATGTATATAGTTTTGGAATATTTCGAAATTCTTCTTGTATGTGTTACTTCATATAACTATTGACGACCTTGAGGTCTTTATGAACTCTCACGACCCAGCCAATGTAGCGCACTGGCGTTTTATTGCTACTAGTGATGCATTTTTTTATTATTTAATCCTAGATTTTTTTTAAATAGAAAGGTTTTATGTAGATAATATTATTCAGATACAGTACATTTAATTACCATTTTAAGACCCCACGACGCAATGCATTATTTAAACTGTTTGTAAATGTTACCCACACATATTGCTGAGATTTACTCAGTATTCTTTAAAAAACAGTAAAAGAAACTTAGACCAAACTCAAAGGGGTGTATCATTTCCTTTTTGACAGAAATTCAACGTTGATTTGTAAAAAGAAAATTGTAGCTTCAATAAAATTCACTGACAAAATAAAGCCAATGTCAATTTGAATTCCAACTGTTAGATATTAATTAAATAAGTTTACACTTAAAATAAGAGGTTACCTTTGGGGGAAGAAGATAAGAAAGGAAATAGAAAATAAAAAGGAAGGAAAATGAAGATACTATATAATAGAATATAAATATACTTGAACGGAAGAAAAAAAATAAATAACCCCATCTTTTACAACATGTTTACTTTCTGTTACTGCAAAAGTAAGATAATAGGAGTAAATTTTGAAGGATCCCCCTTTAGGAAAAAAATACATAAACTAGCCGAAAAAAAAATAGGGATCAAAATTTCTCCACTGATATGACTAATACACTCTCTTTATTAAGTTGCTGTTTGTCGCTTAAGCTAATTATCATTTAATAATGAATAAGGCGAATTATATCAAAGTCAAAATTAATGCCCTATTCACACGGAGAGTTTAATTCGAATTAAACGTAAGTTTATGGGAATTAGCTTCGCTTAGCGTTCACACGGAGAATTTAATGCATATTAGTTTATTTCGCATTAGTTTACTGCGCATTAAATTACTTCGCATCCGCTCCGTGTGAACGCTAAGCGAAGCTTAATTCGAATTAAATTTTGGGGCATGCGTAATGGCAAAATTAAGTCAAATGTGTCATGTCGGTGGTCAGCTTTAAGTACTTGTGCTATCTATTTTAAAGTGAAAAACTAATACCCCATTCATACGACGAAACTTTGCATATGTGTGCAAATTTACATATAAGTAAATATACACATTATATTACACAATATATTGATAAAAGTTAATTTGCTATCCGTTCAGAAGATTTATGTACTGTAAGTAAATCATTATATTTTCATATGAAATAAGGTGATCTACAGATTCAGAATTGTGGAACCTTATAGAAAAAGGTCATTTTCTTAATATTTCGGTATAAGACTAACTTTTGAATGTTCCTCAAGAAAGTAGGGGGAAGTCCGATCAATTTTTTTTTTTGGTATGAAAAACAACAAACTTTTAGGAAAAATTTACACACAAAAAAAGGAAAATTAATCGAAATCATTCTTTAAAATTGGAAAATGCGTTGGCTTCGGTCCCCAAAGAATTTAAAAGAGCCGTTGAGAGTTCAGAAATAGATGGCTGTAGCCATCTACTGTATGGCGTCTTCAGCAGAGTAAAGCACGACTGGAAATCTTGTCGGTATTTGGAAATCAATAGTATATCAAGGTTTGCGAGGTAATTATGAAGTTTCAGCTTGAATATAATATGTTTTTCCAGGAGAATGAAATGGACAATCGGTTTGTAAAAAATTCAAACAAAACAAACATGTGAATAGGAAATAAACGCGAATCCCTCTGTTGAAATGCATGGTGGGATCAGGTGCCAAGGATCGAGAATATTTGAAAATGCTTAAAAATGCTTAATTTCAACATCCTTGTTGAAATTCCTGTAGCATTAATTTATAAGTCAGTAGCTTGCCTTGGTTTAAAAACAAAGAAAGGTAGAAGAAAGTCAATCTAAAATGGAACCGAAGAAGGATATGGAGATAACGAACACTATTCAATCTCGAAGTCCATAAAAGAATACTAAATAAGAGCAGAGCAGACACGGACTTCCAAAACATCAGAGATGGGATCAGGTGCCATGGAGGAGTAAGCATCACCTAATGACCGGTCACACCCGCCGTACGTGTGCTCCTTGTCATGATCAGGAAATAACGGAAAAATCCGTCGTCAATTCAGTGTATAAATAATGGACTAACAATTAGTATGACAAACGTCAGTCAGCATTTGAATCAATGATAAATAATATTTGCTGACAAGGTCATTGTATCGAACATAGAACTTACGAAATGATGACTTTTAACGAGACGGCTGATATTCTAGTTTCATCAAATTGCTTGTCAATAATTTACCTCGTTTTACCGAGTGATTGATGTAATGCCTATTCCTATCACAGCTCCGGAGAATTCCCATGAAGACAACTTGAATAGTAAGGGGACTACTTATTGATCCTGCAGGGCACATGTTTGCGCGATTCCAGTTGTATTTTTATAATTTAGAGGCATAAACATAGGTTTGCTAGAAAGGGTGCAAGATGCGCACGTTTTTGCAAATTCAAATTTATCTCAGAGGAGACTGGAGATATAGTGTGGATCCTTGTTTTCAGAGTTGAAAAAGCGATTTGTGGAAAGAACTATGCTAAAACAACCCGGCGTATCCTTTAAAGACTTTAATGCACTACCCTTATAAAACTCAAATTACATTCAGCTGCCCTTGAAGTACAGCAAAGATGACCATAAAAATCCAGTATTTTTATCTTTTGCTTTCTAGCCACCATGTTAACAGACTGATATTATATAGAAAACAATACATTAACAACCGAAGCAGCGCTAAAAATGGAGATTTATGCAATAAACAAAACAAAATACATACTAAGTAAATTTGCTGCATGTTCATACGACAAAATTTACACACATGAACTAATAATTTGCGACAACATGTATGCAAAAGTTAATTTGCACCTAGTCCTGACCAGGTGTAAATTTACTCAACTGTGCAGAATTTACATGTGAGCAAATCAGTTCATACGGCCAAAATTGCACATGTGAGTAAATTTACTTACGAGTAAATTATCTCGAAAGAATAAGCAATTCAGAATGGCAGTATCTGTCATGGCTTTATTTTGTTTAAGATAGGTTATTACATAATAAATCAATGGTATCAAACAATGGACAATGATCAAGTATTATTGCAAGTGTCAATGAGTAAGCGCCGATCCTCAATCTGGCATTTGGCGCCTACGGTTTGCAGAAACGGAGCCATATGGTGCTGACAACCCTGGAGGGTAAACAGAAGTTGCCAGCGATGGCTTGTTGCAAAATTCTGTAGTTCGTCGGCATGGATTGCAGCCTGGAAGGATCTCTAAAGCCATGACGAGGGACGATGTTGCGCTGGAATCGGAAATGATAACAGCAGAAACACAGGAGAAAACTAATAATAATTGAATGCACAATATTTATGCCCTAACATACCTATGATAAAAATACTATATCTATGCATATCCGCGTACGTAACTGAATAGGGTGATGTATATATGTAAGCAGTTTTTATGGATGACTGGTATATGTAAGCAAGTTTTATGGATGATCGGTGTAAAGGAAAAAACTGTGTGGATTAGATGAGGAATATTAATCTACATAAAATGGTGGGGGCGGGTGGGTGATCAAAATCGTCGAGCGAAGAGGATGTGTGCGCAAGCGCATTTAAGGCTTGGGGCTATTTTGGAAATTTGGTTGAGGTCAGGGGAGTTATCGCGCTTAGGCTATTCTTCTTCGATAACTGGCATTTACCGCACATGGCGGTAAATGCAATTATCTCGAAAGAATAAGCAATTCAGAATGGCAGTATCTGTCATGGCTTTATTTTGTTTAAGATAGGTTATTACATAATAAATCAATGGTATCAAACAATGGACAATGATCAAGTATTATTGCAAGTGTCAATGAGTAAGCGCCGATCCTCAATCTGGCATTTGGCGCCTACGGTTTGCAGAAACGGAGCCATATGGTGCTGACAACCCTGGAGGGTAAACAGAAGTTGCCAGCGATGGCTTGTTGCAAAATTCTGCCAAGTGGATTGCTGTGCGCGAATTTCGAGACAGCAATCCATCCGCCAACAAGTGGCGGACAATTTGGCAAACAAGACATCATGTCTTATGCAACGCAATGATTCTCAAAGCAATACAAAAACAATATGCAGGGTATCATCAATGAATAATGTGGCAAAGCAATATAACACAACATATCAAAGCATCAATCAGCATAACTGGGGGGGGGGGGAGAGGGAAGGATGCAATGCAACTCAGTGCAATTGCGACTACTATCATGAATATGGGATGGTGTGAAGGTGTTTCTTTTACAAGCCATGCACAGATACTGTGTTTTATGGGAGTGTGGGGAAAACCTTTTGACTGGAAGTCAGAAACTTGGACAATGCCGTTTGAATTGTAGTTGTAAAAATAGAATTTCCAAGATCTGATAAATGAACACAATCGAGGAATAATTTGGGCTGATCAATTCTAATATCTGGGTAACGAATGAGGGCCCCATTTAACTTTTGCACAACAAAGCAACCAATGGAATTATTGATTCTTTTTCTAGATTTCTCTGCAGCTTCGCTCGAAATCATGTAACGCCAGTATTTGCGAGGAAGTATGTTTGACCATACAAGAAGAGTGTTTGGTAATTTTCTATGAATGGAGGCTAATAATGATTTCATGGCTATTTGTAATTTTTTAAGGGACTGAATGCCAATACTGTTGCCACCGCAGTGAACTATTAGAACTTGAGGAATGATTTCATTATGGCGATTTAACAAACTAGCAATGTGTTGATCAAGTTGCTCCCATTTTAGTCCCCCAGATCCGGACCAGGTTACATCTATGTTTAAGTGCTCCAGAGACAAGTTTTGGCCAATTGGTGAACGTGTGCAGTAATCTTCAGCTCGTCTGATGATGGAAGATCCAACAATCCATACTTTGCAGCGAGTTCCTGCAAACTTAGCTTACAGTTAGTAAGACTGACTATCTACAAGACTACAGTATTAGGGCGAACATATGACTTAAAAGCGTTGGATTTCCATCTACCCATGGTTTTGATTTCTTGCTCTGGAGTACCTTGCATATACAATGAAGTTGCAGCCCCTATGCGAAATGAATGGGATTTGAATGTTGATATATCAAGTTTGAGGAATGATAGAGCTTTCTTTAGTATTTGATTGAATTGATAGTAAGTCAAGGGTGAGCCATCCATGTGGCACAGAAACTGTGATGTTTGAGTTTGTGATGGTCTATGGGTCGCGTACTCTAGCAGGTTGTGGAATAGGACTTGATTGTGCTTTGTACTGTTAATGTGCATTGTTGTGCCCTTGCCATGCTGATCTGTTTTAGTTTTCCCTAAAGTGATCTGAATGGATGATTGGGATATTGATACATTTTCTATTGATAATGGGGAACTGTGGGTATTTGCCCTAGTGGTGGTTATTTCACCAACTCGAAGTAAAGCAAAGAATGCGAGCCCATATGCTGAGGAGAACAGTAATTTTTCATAATAATTGCGACACACATGTTGCAGCGAGTCTATTAACTTGACTAATAGGGGAAATGTTATCGGGCTTCTTGAATCTTTTCTATGTTTTAGTTGTTTAAAGCCATTTAGCATTTTCTTAACTATGAAAAATTGGCATGGGTCTGGGAAATTACCAAGTTTTATGTTGAAGCTTAAGCCAGCTAGGTAGGTTTTGGCTGTAGAGTATGTTGTCCCCTTTGAGGATAGGTAAGCAATATAGTTAATTAATTGGTCTATGGGAGGGGGCCATACTTCTGTTAAGTTAAATTTTTTTCTAAATTGTGCAAATGAGTCAAGACCTTTCTGGTATATTTCTTGAGTGTTATGAGAGACTGATGCTGAGAGTAGTTGTTCTACTTCCTGCTCAAATGGTTCCAGAATTCCAGAGGAACTTGGCAGGGATAATAGTCTGCATGGGGGGCCAGCTTCCTGAACTTTTGCCACTGAAAACGAGATATGGCATCAGCTATAGAATTAGAATGACCTGGTACATGTTCGCAGCGGACTTGGATATTGTATTTTAATATTTTATAAAGAAAAGGCCTGAGGAGGGACATAACTCTTGGTGACTTTGATGTTTTTTGGTTGATTATCTCGACAACAGCCATGTTATCAATATGCAAGATTATTTTTCTGCCTTGTAGTTTGTGGCCCCATATGTATATTGCAAGGGCGACTGGGACTAGCTCCAGATAAGTCAGATCTCTACAATCGTGTTGTGACCATTCTGAGGGCCATTGTAGGTAGGACCATTGTGTACCAAATATGACCCCGCACCCAAGTGAACCAGAGCTATCAGAGGATATGTGAATAGTCTCTTTATGTGACCAGTGAATATCTGGGAATACAGTTGTGCCATTAAAGTCGGACAGGAACTCGAGCCATATATCTACATCTTCGCGAAGTGCCCTTGAGATAGTGATATAATGGTGTTGTTTGTATCCCTGTGATAGGCTGTCATAAAATCGCCTACAAAAGGCTCTCCCTGCAGGTATTGCCTTAGAAATAAATGCCAAAGATCCAACTAATGATTGCATTTCTTTAAGAGTAATTTTGCAACGCGAGGCAACGTTTTGAAGTTGGGCTTTAAGGGCGTCGACTTTATCTTTAGGGACAAATATAGTTTGGGTGATGGTATTAATCCCTAACCCTAGAAATGTTAAACAAGTTGTAGGACCTTCAGTTTTTTCCTCTGACAGAGGAACGCCGAGCGTTTCACAAGTTATGTCAAATATTTGCTTGAGGTTTTTGCACACAAGGGTGTTTGCAGGGCCTGCAAAAAGGAAATCATCAAGGTAGTGTACTAATGTGTCAATATTGGCTCGATCTTGAACAATCCAATGGAGGGCTGTTGCAAATTTTTCAAATGTAGCACATGCTATAGAGCAACCGAATGGGAGGCACTTATCGAAATAATAGTTGTTAAAATAAAAACCAAGCAAGGAAAAATCCTCGGGGCGAATAGGAAGGAGTCTGAATGCACTAGAAATGTCTTTTTTCCCCAACAAAGCTCCCTTGCCTAGTTCTTTTATCATTCTTACTGTCGAGTCAAATGATGTATAATGAACGGTGCAGAGATCTGGGTCTATAAAGTCATTAACACTATTTCCCTCTGGTGCAGATAAGTTACAAATCATACGCCACCCCCCTTGCTTTTTGGGAACAATGCCTATTGGGCTACACTTGATATTTGACATGGGGATATTCTTGAACGGCCCAGCTACTCTACCTAATTTAACCTCTTGATCAATTTTTTCTTGGAGCTGCTGTGAATTTGTTTGTGCAGATTTCATGTTTTTAGATTTTTGATATTCCCGTATACCCGAATAACAAATGTTGAAACCATATTGAAAACCATTGATTAATTCATGAGCAATATGTTGCAAGGGGTAGTCTTTTAGCATTGATTTTAGGATGTTAACGTTGACTGGGGTTGGGGCCAAGTCCCAGAGGCCTTGGTTGGTTTGGGGGGAACCCTCTACTCTGAAATCTGCTTGGGGGCTGGCGGGGATGTTCGGCTTGGGATGGGCGAAAGTTTTCTGTGCGAAATGCCTGACTGTTGTGCCAGCGGCAGTTTATGAGTGGGTGATTATTGGAGCATTTAATGCAAGCATGTTGATAAGTGCAGTATGGTCTTCCGCATGTGCCTTTGTAATTGAAGTCAAAGCATTTTGGCGATTTAGTTGTATAATTTGGGGTTTGCTGTGATAGAGTGTTGTGGCCATGAGACACATACAAGAGCCATAATTCTGCGTCGACACACCCCCAGTCGAGAGTATGGTTCCTGGAGCGCTTTAGTCTAAACTGTATGTCATAATTGAGCCAGTTTAAGTTTGATGATCGCTGTGCAGCAGTGCGTATGATGTTAATGTATTTAAGGATTGATTGAATGTGTTCAGGGAACTTAGTCAAGTAAATGCTGCTGAAAATGAGGAAAGCATTTGTCCATGTTTCAATTGAAGTTATTTTGATTTCTTTATGCTTAGCCTTTAGCACTAATTCGCCAGCAACAAATGCGAGCTGTTGCTGGGGCTCGTCATTTGGTTTGAGAGGAAGTAATTTATGCAAGTGAATGAATGCATTATCATATATGTTTTGTCTCAGGTTGTCTGGGACATGGACGCCCAATGCGTCTGAAACGCTACATAATGAATTTGGTGTTGTTGCACTTGAATTAGATAATGTATTAGTGCTGCCTGAAGTACCTGTAGAAAGCATTGTTGGCGATGCCTCAAACTCTAAGGGGTCAGGGATGTCTATTCCTGAGGAAGTTGTAGGCTGGTTTGATAAGGCTAGAGGTATGGCGTCAGGAGTGACCTGGTTCGGTTGAGTCACGGTGCTTGTAGCAGTGGTGACCTGGTTCGGTTGAGTCACGGTGCTTGGAGGCCTGGATGCTTTGGCCTTTTTGGTGGCAGCTGGAGCTCGGCCGGGCCTGGCATATGGAGACTTTGTAGTCCTTTTTGCACGGAGCATGTTTCTATAAAACAAACAACTGTGTAACTTGTGTTTAACATATACATAATTTATTATTATCATTATTAATTGCTTATATATTTATAAATTTTTACTATTAATGTTTTTTTTTTTTTTTTGTTTGTTTGAATCTGAGATTGTAAGTTATTAACATCGTTTACTAATTATGAATGATCAAATTATATGTAGAGTTAAAGCCCTTTTGTTTAACGTTTGGCATGCCGCCATTAACGGATGGTGATGATGAATATTGATCCAGCAAAATCTGCTCACATCTTAAGTGCTGAGGCAAGGGAAACGCCCAATTCGCTTCCAATGCTTCACTAGATGTTTAATACATACCGATGACCGGTGGAACGATACCTGTACAATATAGTAATCCACGTAATGGGTTGCAACTTGGAGGTGATTTTTCTGTTGATGCTGTCTGATCAAAATCGTCGAGCGAAGAGGATGTGTGCGCAAGCGCATTTAAGGCTTGGGGCTATTTTGGAAATTTGGTTGAGGTCAGGGGAGTTATCGCGCTTAGGCTATTCTTCTTCGATAACTGGCATTTACCGCACATGGCGGTAAATGCAATTATATTAAGGTATGCAAATCATGTCGTATGAATGGGGGTATAAGAAAAAATGTGTTAATCACTAAAATATGTCTCCAGACACTGTGACATGTCAAATGCATCTGCTTATGCATAAGGTGACGTGATTTGCAAATGACGTCATAATAGCCTTCCTCACGCCTGACTGTCGAAGTAAAATTTTAATTCGCATTAGTTTACTTCGCATTAGCTGTCGTGTGAACGCAATTTAATTCGCATTAGTTTGATTCGCATTAGTTTACTTCGCATTAATTTACTGCGAATTAAACTTGTCGTGTGAACAGGGCATAACAAAACACATAACTTTATAATGGAAAGTAAATGTATAATCATTGAATGTTTGTTTTAAATGGTTTTCGATCTTCCCCTTTTCTCCAGTGGAAATTAATTTTTTGACACAAATATTGATGAAGCCCTTCATTGGTACTGGGTGTATTCTCCTATACACTGTATATCAGGGAGTAAAGATATCTTGCAGCGGCGAAAAATAAAATTGATATAAAAGAGAAATGTTTGGGCATTCTGTCCGCAGAACATAATAATCCAAAACATCCATGGATATGCTGATTCATCTGAAAACCATTATAAAAAATATTTTTAAAAATCCGTCCAAATCAAGTTTCTGTTAATCACTGTTTGAAATTCGTACATGCCGTATTTTCAATTTAACCCACCGACAAGCGTTAATTGTCAGAAACACGTTTCACATATTTCAAACACGTGCATCAATCTATGGTTTGTTTCCATTTTTCACACATTTGGATTTCAGGCGTATAAAAATGTGTGCAAAACGGGAATTTGACCAGATGAGATAATTAGTTACTTGGTATAGTCTATACCCAGGTTGGTAGATAGGGGAAAAGTGGACCTATGTGTGAGAATGATTGGAACATAAAAAAGAAATTAAAACAAAAAAATATTATGTGCATTACAAGTTTTCAATTTTTTCACTCTTTTCTTTCATATAAAAATAGAAAATTTACCTAAAAAATAATCATGAATAGTAATTGGTAATCGTTGTCAATTTCTGAATCATAGCTTTCTAGTGAAAATCTCAAAAGCATGTGCTAGAAAAGAGAATGTGTTTTCTTCTTTTTTTGACTGAATAATAGGAATATATTGCTGTTGATTCCTATTCCTATTGCAAAGAAAGGAAAGAAAAAAAAAGAAATTTCTGTCTTTCTCTCCCGAAATCGTATTTCTTAAGATGTAGCTATATTTTTATCAAAAAAACTCTTATATGTAAACTTAATCATAAGCCTTCCTACTTCTATTTTTCTGGTCCTTCGGATGAGTCCGTATATACAGGAGGTCTCGTGTCGCACACAGTCAATTAACGGTTTTAGCTTTTCTTTTCATAAATAAAAAAAGCACCCATATTTTAATTATAACATGTATAATGTTGTAAGGTGGAATTTTCAATTATGAAAAGAACTTAAAGATAAACATATCAAGTGCCAGTGGCGTCGCAGTATGTGTTGGCACGAAAACGATCCCTCCCTGTTCAATGGTCCTAAGTGCTTATCCCCTCTCCCCACCGAAAAAAATGAAATAATTTCCCCTTAAGTATTATTAAAAATTACTTAAATTAACTTTAATTTACAAATGAAGAAAAGTGTACTGAAAATAGTTAAATCAATAATATCAGAGGAGATATTTTATTAAGCATTTTTTGCCAAAAAAAAAAGTCTTAATTTTCTAAATAGGGCTGTCTGTTTTCCTCCTTCTGATATCTTGTTTTTTTTTTTCAATGATCCGGACAGAAGGAGAAAAAACAACTCTGATTAATCAGTTGTTTCTTATTTCAAATTATTTTTTCTTCCGTTTTCATATATCTATATTCCGTATCTTCGATTCCTTTCCTTTTCAACAATCTTCAACGACCATTTTTTTCTCATTCCATATTTTGAATTTTTACAAGAGCGAATAGGCGTCAAAAATTAAAAACATCGTGTTTTTCTAATAACTTTTTAGCTTCTAATTACTTCTTTGCGTTCTTCGCCAATTTCAGCATTTATTGGAATATGAAGACTTCTTTATTTTAATTTCCTTTCATTTTTTGTTCCGATTTCCATTTGATTTACTTACTGATTTTTTTTTTTTTTTTTTAATTTTCTGTGCATATTTGAAATTACCAATCGCTAACTACCGGTAATGATTGGCTGGGTTTATAATTTTAAAGTATACTGCATTCTTAAGGTAAAACTATACATAGAATATAGGAATGGTACAATTCTTGATCATTATAAATCACATAAAAACTTATAATATTAAAATGAAACTTGTAAGTTTAGTTACATTTTCATATTGTTATTTGCGAAATCAAAAATTATTGTTAATTTTTCTTCTTCTGATTTTTGACTTGCATGATTGGCAACAGTAATTTTTTATTCTTAATTTTCAGGGAAAAGTTAATGACCTAAATCTGACCTTGCCTCTAATACAGAACGGTCAAATTCAATCTCATTGATATTATCAGTTACATGTAGTAATATTGTCACCTTGATTCTGTAAAAATTTCATTAATTTTTAAATACAAGAAATATGACAAGAATCCTACCGTAATATTTTCTAAAATTTCTGTGTAATAGCACGACTTATATGTGGAAAAAGCATTTCAAGCGAAAAGATATTGAAATATTATTTAATCTAAAAGTTATCAAAACTTCATATCTTTGGATGGGTTTGATTGACACATCCATAAACTTACACTAAGTTTGATTTTATTCTTAATGATTAAGAAAAATGGCAATTATGTTGTGTATAGTAATATTAAGTTCAATAACTTTTAGATGAAATATTATTTTTAATATATTTTCGTTTGAAATGCTATCACGTATAAATCTTAATATTATACAGAAAATTTTAGAAACTAAATAACTTTAAATCTGAGTCTATACACCCTTAAGTGCTGAATGGCGTTTTTCTACTTATTGTTAGTCCATTATTTCCCAATCATGACAGGAAGTGCACTGCAGATATAACCGGTCAAAAGGGGATTCTCACTCCTCCCTGGCACCTGGTCCCGCCTCTTATGTTTAGAGACCTGTGTTTACTTTGCTACTGATTTGTATTGTTTGGGTGGACTTTCAAGCTTGATTACTATTGTAATTATCACATGTTTCATTCGACAAATCAGAATGTATTCAAGAAGTTTGCGTGCGAATAAAAAAAAGAGACTTCTGTGGTCATTTAGATATATCGACAACGTATTATTAATTATTGAAACATTTCTGATGTCATCTTTTGTTAATCTTTTTTATTACCCTGCACACCGCTCAATAAGTTAACGATAGGTGTCAATTAAGATTCAATTTATTGGACAGCTACAAGTAACATTCAAATGAGAACAAAGGGTGAGGTAAATAAATTTATTAAACAGCAGCAAAAAAGCAATGACAAATCAAACAAATTTATATGAACAATGTTGAAAATAAGTCGCGTAAATTGTAAATACTCTTCTGGAAATGGCACAAATAATCAAAATACATTTGAATGTCTAACATGAAATTAACAAAAGAAACCGTGTGTCCGATCATAATTTTCCAAGATGTTCATTACTAATAGATTCATTTCACAATAATTGGGACATAGATAATTCACGGGATCTTGTAGACACATAAGAAAAATTAATCAAAAGCATGTGTTTACTTAAAAACTACATTGGGCTTTTTGCTTTTTTAAGTATCCATGTTTCCGCCTTTAACTAAATTTCAACTGATTCTGTATTATTTTCGTTCGGGACCAATTGCCCATATCTAGTCCTGTAAATTCAGCATAGGAAAATTAATCATACAATTGAAATTATAAATTATCGAAGATACAAAATACGGCATCAAATGTTCATAATTTTTTTTCAAAAACATGCAAAATAAAACAGAATAAATTTTTTAATAATGAGGTCAGGAATGAATCAAACGATTGAAAAACATTTAGGAATTGATTTTAAAGAATTTATTCGAAAACCTTTGTACAGTCAGAGAAGAACAAATTCTCCAAAATAAGGGTCAAACCCTACATAGGGCCACACAGCAAATCAACCACCACTGTGAAACAGAAACTGTACCAGGTCATTTTGGGGGAAGGTTATTCCATTTGTGTTGAAGTGCTGAAGCAGGTTCTTCGACATTGGCAGGTAGTCCAAGTTCTTTATCCGGTCAGAGTTGTTAAATGAATTTTCACAAGAACTTTTCTTTATAACTCATATTTTTTTTTCATTTTACCGTTTTCTCCATCTTTGATATAAGAAAAAGTAAACGATAACAGGAGTTTATATCATACTCGTCGATTTTTACTTAGTTGATGCCGTATATTGTAAATTCTTGCATGTGTTGCCCTTTGTATTCCGTGTCCTGGTTCCTGTTTCAGCGATTCTTGGTAGGATTGTAAAGCACCGTTTAAGTCTCCAACAACTTGCTGACAGATCCCTAGTATCTGCCAGGATATTTGTCTGTGAATTGGTGGTACATATCTTCCATCATCGTACAGGAGCATAGTGTGAAGGTCTGTCAGTGACTGTAGATACTGAGTTCTATTACCAAGGCGGTAGTTTTATAAAATTGACAGCATTGTTACCAATACAAATACTGGATATAGTACACCTTTCACATCCGGTGATTCTAATTTGTTCTCCTCTTGTTCTAATATTAATTCTTCAATAAAGTGAATCCCATGATAAAACGTAATATCCACAACCCAGGCGGCTTTCATTTTTCTTGACATAGACAAATTACTTATTTCTTCACTATATCTCTGTCTGTCTACGTACCGGTTTGTTGTAATACAAAATAAAGTCTTTTGATAGTCTTTGTTTCATCAGTTTAGAAACATCAAGTGCTTTATTGTATCTCCCTGTCCTATAGTAAAAC